CCAGCTAAGAGAAGTTCCAGCCATGATATAGGAGAAGGCTTGTGGTCATATCCTTTAAGGAAGGAGCTTGAAAAATCGCTCCATTTCTCCTTTCTTCCCCCTTTTCGTTGTCTCTTATGGACTGAATGTATCCCTCCAAAATTCATGCTGAATCCTTGACCCCAAAGGTGACTATTTACAGAAATAGGGCCTTTAGGAGGTGATTGAAATTGAGTAAGTTCATAAGGGTAGGGCCCTCATCCCATAGGATTAGTGTCCTTCTAAGAAGAGACGCCAGACAGTGCTCCCCAATCCCAACGCGAGAACATGGAAAGAAAGCGGCCATCTGCAAGCCAGGAAGAGGGTCCTCACCAAGGACCAAACCCTGCCAGAACCTTGATTTATTTATAAAAAAATAAAAGCAGTTGGCAGGAGCCGCAGGAGCCCTCATGGGCCATGAGAAGGAAGCCCTGTGTTTTAGTTTTGTTGTTGTTGTTGTTGTTTTAGTAGGATTCACACCCAGCGTGGAGCCCATTGCGGGGCTTGAACAAATGACCCTGAGATCAAGACCTGAGCTGAGATATAGAACCCACTGAGACGGGCGCCTGGGTGGCTCAGTTGGTTAAGCAACTGCCTTCGGCTCAGGTCATGATCCTGGAGTCCTGGGATCGAGTCCCACATCGGGCTCCCTGCTTGGCAGGGAGTCTGCTTCTCCCTCTGACCCTCTTCCCTCTCGTGCTCTCTATCTCTCATTCTCTCTCTCTCAAATAAATAAAATCTTTAAAAAAAAAAAAAGAACCCACTGAGCGCTCCCAGAGCCGCTATTCTAACTGGAACAAGGAATGAAAATCTTCCCTGGGATCTCCTGACACAGAGGTCACTGGTGACCTTAGGAAGAGTTGCCTCAGCAGAGTGGTAAGGACCAAAGGCACGGAGAGAGGTAAGGAGGCGGAGATGCGTGTGCGGGCAGCACTTTCATGAAGTCTGGCTGTGATGGGGAGGAGAGGGATGGGGTACCGGCTGGAAGAGGGGCCCATGGAGTCCAGTGGCAGCATGCAAGCCAAAGCTTGCTTGCTCGGATCTCCCTGGTAGAAAAAACTTGCTGATGAGCTGTGAGAAACGCAGGCAGCTGACAGCCGCCAGTTCCAGCACCTTCCAAGGCCTGAGCATCTGAGCCAAGGCATCACTTCCTGGACATTCTCCAGCCAGTGACAGATAGGGAAACTAGGGCCTGACCATTTCTACCCTGAGGACCCACTAGCCACAGGTTGAAAGGGTTTTCTGTCATTTGCTTGTCATGACAGAGACCCGAGGATGAAGAATCCAGTTGGGAAAGAGCAGCTGAATATGGGGGACAGAAGATGCACAGGTGGAGAGAGGGAGGTCTTTGACAAGGCAGAAGGACATGGGTCTGGACTACGGGCGAGCAGTTCAGTCAGGCCAGGGGAGGAAGAAAGAGGCAGGAGGGAAGGAGGGATGGGTGCAGACACACGAGGGTGTATAGTTTTGGGAGCAAGGTGATGGCAGACCTCCCTGCAGAGAGCTTTCTCTTTCTTCAAGAAATAGGAAGCAAGATCAGGCCCAAGAGCTAGGAAACAGTCCTTCGAGGCACTGTGTCTCCCTTTTTCTGTTTTAGCCTCGTCTTCCCACCTGCAGGATAAACAATTTGGACTACACCCCTGGTTCCCAACCATGTTTGGTCCTCAGGAGCTTTTCAAAAATACACTTTTGGGAGACCCTATCCGTGAATCTCCATAGTAGAAATGGTGGGGGCAGGAATCTGTAAATATTTTTAAAGTATATATAAAGGGAGGCTAATGTGGATACACAGCCGGATTGGGGAAGTGCCCTGCGGGGGTACTCCGACTTTGAGAGTTTGTGGTTCGGGCAGCGGGAAGGTGCACAATTCCAGCACAGCATTTTATGGAAGCTGCAAGCTATAGAAGAAGCCACATGCCACTTTCTGTCGCCCATAACTACAAAAGCCCCAAAGCTCAAAAGGCACCAGAACTCAAGAGGAATAACAATAAGGCAAAATGAATAGCAAGATCAGAGGCACTACCTGCATGGGAAGCCCACCACACACACTCTGGCTCCCATGAGACGGAACAAGGAAGAGCCTGCAAGGAACAAGGAAGAACCCCCACCCCCCTCGTGGGACGTGGGTCAGGGCTTGATCGAGGCAACTCCCCAGAGCAACAGGATTAAGGGTTGGATAAGGCTGTTGCAGGAGCTCGGGGATGCTTGGCCAAGCTGCCTTTCTGAAACCCGAGCCCTGGGCTAGGAAGAAGGGGAAGGAGGGGCTGCCTGGCCCTGAGAGTCCACGCCTGTCCCCCACCCCTGAGCTCCTCCTCTGCCTGGGTGCCCCTTCTCTGGGGCTGCTTCAGACTGTGCAGGTCACCTCCACTCTCCCTTTGCCTCCCTCTGCCCCTGAGATTGGGTGGGGACAGGCTGGGCCACCCGCCAGCTCCATGGACGGGGACTTTGCCTCTGCTCATCTTCCAGCTCTGGAAAGAAAAGAAGAAGAAAGGTCTGTGTCCATTCGTGTTTGGGGAATCCTTCCCCCTCCTAAACTCCTGGGGGCAGAAAAGGTGATTTGAGATTTGATCTTGGATTGACTGTGGAAGAGGGGACGGAAAGAGCCCAGAACATTCCCCCAGGTATGAATACTTCACTTTTGCTGGTGTGTGTGTGTGTGTGTGTGTGTGTGTGTGTGTGTGTGTGTGTGTGTATGGGAGAGAGAGAGAGAGAGAATGACAAGTTTTCTACTGGCCAGATGTGGAATTACCCTTGATGGTCTCCTGGGCTCCTTCTGACTGCTTCATTCTATGATTCTGTAGCTCTAAACTTCATTCAGTCATTCAACAAACATTTCCTGAGTACCCACCCTGTGCCAGATGCTGCCGTTGAACAAGATCTGGCCCCTGCCCTTAAAGGTCCACAGAGAGTGGTAAAAATAAAATAGCTACCATGCTTATGGTGGGCCAGGCACTGGACTAAACCTTTTATAAACTTTAGCTCCTTTAACACAGCAACAATTGTTAGAGCGAAGTGTATTACTAGCCCCATTTTACAGATGAGGACAGTGAGGCTTATTGAGGTGAGGTCACAGAGCTAGTAGGTGATGGAGCTGATGCTTCTAAGCACTGTGTTATGCTGCCCTCCCCCCTCCTCCTCCCCAGCTATAAAGGCAAAATGTGCACTAATAAAGCGTGGGGAGGGAGTGTGAGAGCTTCAGAGAGTCACAGTTCATGGAGGGAAGGGAACAGTTAAGCCTCATTTCCACCTGGGGTCCCAGGGGGTGAGGCAGGGGCAGGCCCAGATCGCTATGGAGCCCCTCAGCATAGATTGGCCCATGGCTGCCCCCCTCCTGATAGTCCTCAACTGCCCATCTCCCAGCTGTCCCCAGGTCAGGCAGAGAGAAGACAAAAGCTGATTATTCCACTGGGGGCTGTACTGGGCCCCATGAATGGAGTATTGAAAACCCCGTGTCCACATCCAGATAGGTTTTCAATCCTTCCCCAACCAGACTGTTTGTATGCCAGGACAGAGGCCAAGCCTGGGGTGGGTGGGGGAGATAGGGGCTGTCTCCTTTTGGGACGCATCTCCCTCTAAATATATCCCAAACAGGGGCGCATGGGTGGCTCAGTCATTAAGCGTCTGCCTTCAGCTCGGGTCATGATCCCAGAGTCCTGGGATCGAGCCCCGCATCGGGCTCCCTGCTCCACGGCGAGCCTGCTTCTCCCTCGCCCACTCCCCCCATGCTTGTGTTCCCTCTCTCGCTGTGTCTCTCTCTGTCAAATAAATAAATAAAATTAAAAACATATATATATCCCAAACAGACCCATCCACTACACCAGACCCCCATCTTCCCCCAACCATCCCTCTACTATCCACACATTGTATCAGACTCCTGCTGAAGGTCTGCCAGGAAAGGGAATGTGGGGTCTTACCGGGATGCTGCTTACCTGGTGTGAATGTTCACTGAGCTCTACACTTCCAATTTATGCACTTTGGGGCTTGTATACCTTGATCCAAAATTAATTAATTAATTAAAGATTTTATCCATTCATCTATTTGAGAGGGAACAGGGAGAGGGACAAGGAGACTCTGCACTCAGTGCAGAGCCTGACGCGGGGCTCAATCCCACAACCCTGAGACCATGACCTGAGCCGAAATCAAGAGTCGGAGGCTTAACCGACTCTGCTACCCAGGCACTCCCCAAATTTATTTATTTATTTTTAAGTCATCTCTGCACCCAATGTGGGGCTCAAACTCATGACCCCAAGATCAAGAGTCACATGCTCTTCCAACTGAGCCAGCCAGGTGCCCCTACTCAATCCAAATCTTACAAAAGCATCTTCAAGGGCTTCCTACCCCAAAAGGGCAGAGCATCCCAAATGGCATCTACTCTCCCACCCCTTCACCATTTTGGCATATTTGAGAGTCATGGGAACCATATTTCCTTGATTTTTCCCCCTTAAATTGACTCATTTCTTCTGATTTAAATTAACTTTAAAGAGAAACTTTATATTGCCCCAAATAAATGGAAAACCAGAAGCCTTTGCCAAAAATAGAAAGCATTGTAAAAAAAAAAAAAAAAGAAGAAGAAGAAGAAGAAGAAGAAAAGGAAAAGAATAAACATTATTTTATCGCCCACTAAAATTACATGGATTACCACCAGTGGCACCAACACTGGGCTTTGGGATGCGCTGAGCCCTCAGCACAACCTTCAAGCCTGTCCTGGTCTGGGACCAGGCAACCCTCCAGCTTTGTCTCCTGCCACTTGCTCTCACACACCCTTGGCTCCAGCCAGACCTAGCTCCTCATTAGAGCCCTGTGCCCCATCCTTCCCAGAGGTCCCGGCTGTTGCCCCTGCTGCTGCCTCTACTGGAATGCCAGATCCGAGAGGAAATGTCACACAACCCCTGAAGCTCTCGCTGGGCCCCTTCCACCTGGAAGAAGTGACTGGGGATCTTTAATTCCAGATGTTCCATCTGTGATTCCTCCACCGACCCCTGATGGGACCCCCTGAAAGGCCATCCCCCAGCTGGATGCACAAGGAAGCAGAGATGCGAACTGATCCCCAGACGGCAGAGAAGAGCAGGGGGTGGAGGCCCAGAGACAGGAGCAAGGCCCCTTCATCCCTCCCCCCAGGCCTGCCCTTCCTCCTCCTCTTGCCGCTGGGTGAGTGCCCTCCCCGAATGCCTGACCCTTCCCCTTTCTGGCTCTCGGTTTTCCCAGCTGTAAAATTATGGTGGGACATGGTTTGTCAATGAAGTGGTTTCCATCGTTCTTTCCAGATGCAAGCTAAGGGTCTTCATTGGGGAAGTGGAGGGCTGAGTGCTGGAGGTGAGGGCTCAATGTATGCAGAGTCTGGGCAGTTAGGGGACATTGGAAATAGGGAAGGAGGGAAAGGAGTGGGTTCAGCAACGGCTGTTCAAAAGGCAGCTGGTGGGATACATAGAACCAAACAAACTCGGGACGATCCTAACTTGAGAAAGAGGAAACTGAGTCTCAGCTTCTTCATCTGTAAAATGGATACACTAGTACACACCTCGCAACACCGTTGTAAGGATTTTATGAGGTGTCATGAATGTGTCTGAGAACTGTAATACTCTGCATATAAGCGAGGCGTTGTTATGGGGTTTTCCATTTCCCATACTGGGCCAGTTTCCCTGTTTACCTCCCTGCCTCTCAGGCCATGTGCCCAGAATTGTGTGGTGAAGAACAGTGTGGCTGTCTAGGTTGGAATCCCAGCTCTACTCCCTGTTGGCTGTGTGGCCTTGAGCGAGTTGCCTAAACTCACTGAACCTGACGTTCCCCTTGTGCGCAATCCTACCCACCTCCTATGTCGTCCTAATAGTTAAGTGAGCCAGGCCACGTAAAGCGATGAGCACAGTGCCTGGCATATACACACATGACGGCTGGAGCAGAAGGTCTTGTATAGGTAAATCTTTTGGGGGATATCCTAATGAATCCCTAATGAATCAGAGCTACTGACCACCTGCCCAGTCATAGGGTTGGGGGGGGGGACGGGAAACACCGAGATGAGACAGGCACGGCCACCTCACCAGGCAGAAGGCCCAGAAAGGGCCATGTAGATGGTGCCCAGGGATTCGGAGGAAACAGAGAGCACTTCTAGCTGAGGGTTCCAGGAAGGCTTCCCAGGGGCGGGGGCTCCGAGCTGTATCTGGAAGGAGCTGCAGGGCCATAATGAGCAGAACTGTTCAAGCACAGGAGACTGCACGGTTAAAGACCCAGAGACAAGACTGATGGGATATAAAGAAGTCCAGGGGGGAGGCGGGCACCTGGCTGGCTTAGTAGGTAGAGTGTGTGACTCTTGATCTCAAGGGTTGTGAGTTTCAGCCCCACTTTGGGTGTAAAGATTACTTAAAAAAAAAGTTTCTAAAAAAAAGGGGGAAGCTGGTCAGAAGGTACTAGAAGGCTTTGTAGAGAAAGCTCAGGGTCTGGGACTCCTGCAGGAAATGGAGAGTTTTGAGGAACCTCAAAGTAGGGGGGATAATCAGACCCCTGTTTCAGGCAGATCTCTCTAGGGTGATGGGAGAGGGGTGAAGCAAGGAGGCCCACTGGGACAGGCTGGAGGAGAGAGCAGAAGCTTGGCGCGGGCAGGGGAAGTGAAGAGGAGGGGGATGATGGTAAGGACCGTGCAGGGAGGGGAGGCAGTGTTCCCAGGGCCAGGCCACCCGGGAAAGAGGGTAGAGGGGCCAATGCTCTTCCTTGCTCTGTTTCAGCCAGTGCCCTACAGCCCACCCCACTGCCCTTTCCAGGTAGGTGCCTCTGCCCCTCCTGCCCACACCCTGCCCTGCCCCCCACGTACTCAGATGCTCAGACAGATCCTCAGGGAATGATGACTAACAGGTCCTCCATAAGTCTAGATGCCCCCACACGGATTGCGCTAGTACCCCCATTTGACAGAGAGGGAGAAATAAGGCCCTGAAGGGACTGATACTAAGGCTCCCACGCTTCCATGACTTCACAGCAAGGTGGGCGTCCTGCAGGTCAGGCCCAAGCGATCCCTCTGGCGCCAGCTCAACCCTCTCCACAGAGCTGAGGCTGGTGGGGGGCCCGAGCCGCTGCCGGGGGCGCCTGGAGGTCTTGCACGGTGGCTCCTGGGGCAGCGTCTGTGACGATGACTGGGATGTGGTGGATGCCAACGTGGTGTGTCGACAGCTGGGCTGCGGCCTGGCGCTGCCCGTGCCGCGGCCCCTTGCCTTTGGCCAAGGCCGAGGCCCCATCCTGCTGGACAACGTGGAGTGCGGCGGGCAGGAAGCCGCCCTGAGCCAGTGCAGCAGCCGAGGCTGGGGCGTTCACAATTGCTTCCACTACGAAGATGTGGCCGTCCTGTGTGATGGTAAGCCGAGACCCATGACCAGGGAGGGCAGGCAGAAGGGCTGCAGGCTGGATGACTGAAGGGACTTCTGCGCAGAAGACCAAGCCGGGGGTGGCGCTGCTTAGTGCTGGCGAACAGCCCCAGCCTAGTTGTCAGGGTCCCAGTGGTCCTTCCGCTTCATTGTGTGATCTTGGCTGAAAGGAAAACCAGCACTATTGTTTCTATGTAGGGCCTTGATTGTTCCAGCAGAGGCCTCTCCCCATTTTTAAAATCAAACAAGCGGGGTCAACACTGGCAGTGAGGTCCATTTGGTGTGGGGATGCTGCAGAAATCGCTGAGAGGCATTGACCTTGAGAGTAATGGTTCTAGTTTTCCAAGAAAATCCCCCGGTGGTCTCATTAAAACACCGACTGTGGCCCCAACACAGAGCTTCTGATGCTGCAGGTCTGGGGTGGAGCCTGAGAATTTGCATTTCTAATACCTTCTTAAGTAATGGGATGCTGCTCTTAGAACTAAAAGAACTCGTCTGAAGCTACTGCTTTCTGGACTCAGGGGGCCCCTTCTCCTCTCACACCCCAGGGTTCCTGGCTTTGACCCTTTGTGTGGCCAGAGGCCCTATGGCAGGTACCTTAGGGGTCCATGCCCTGCTGCTAACACACCCGTGGGTGTGAGGATGAAGAACAGAAAGATCCATGTATCCTCCTCCCTTCCACCCTGCTTCCTTCCCAGAATTCTTGCCCACGCAGCCCCCAGCAAGGAAAGTGTTCACCAGTAGGGTGCCCCCTACAACTCGCCAGAATGGGAAAGGTAAGTAAGGGCAACATGGGGGACCACCTGGGTCTTAAAAGAAGGACCCCAAGGGGAGTCTCCCATATCTACCCTTGACGGTGGGAAGAGAGGGATAACCAATGGGTGAGCTGGGTCATTCCCTTCCCATCCTGCCCCTCGCAGCCCCGGAGGCTGCTCAGCGTCTGGATGGGGAAAGCGGAGTCCACTCCCGTGGGATGATTAAAAATAGTCAGCACACGTTTAGTGAGAGAGGTGAGGACCAGAGCTTAATCCAATGAGAAAGTCAGATATGTACAGAAATGTGGATAATGATGTAGAACAAGAAAATGGAAAGTGTCCTAAAGGATGGACAGATAAACAGGCAAGGAAGTCCAGAGGAGGAAGTGGGTCTCATTTGTCAGAGATCAAGGAGGGCTTCCTAGAGGAAGAGTTGTTGGCAATGCACCTGGAAAGGTGAGGCGGCTTTCACCGCAGTAGTAAGCGAGGAAACAGCACGTCCTATACGGTTAGGATTGCTTAGGAGAGCATAGACCAGTGCCCGGAAGGTTGGTTTCGGGCAGGAAATGACACGAAGCCAGTCTGTCCTGATCCCACAAACCTCCCCCTATCTGGGACTGTGAGGCGGCAGTGCCTGGGGTAACTGGGTGAACAGCTCCTCCTGGGTTTTAGGTTGCGGGGCACCATGCACTGTGGGCACGTGCGGGGCCTGAGGCACTGTGGGTGCGCTGGGTCAGGTGTAATGTTGGGGGGGAGGCCGAGCCCTGTAGGAGATGCTCCCTGTAGGAGATGCTCCCTGTCCTCACCCCCACCAGGTGAGGGCAGCGTGCGCCTGGTGGGGGGCACGGGCCCGTGTCAGGGCAGAGTGGAGATCCTGCACGGCGGCCTGTGGGGCACCGTGTGTGACGACGACTGGGGGCTGCCGGATGCTGCCGTGGTCTGCCGCCAGCTGGGCTGTGGGGCCGCCCTGGCCGCCACCACCAACGCCTTCTTTGGCTATGGCACGGGGCACATCCTGCTGGACAACGTGCACTGCGAAGGCGGCGAACCCCGCCTAGCAGCCTGCCTAAGCCTGGGCTGGGGCGTGCATAACTGCGGCCACCACGAGGACGCTGGCGCACTCTGCGCAGGTGCGGGCTGGGGGGCAGGCTGGGGGCGGGGAGGGGCGGGGCCGTGTTCTGAGGCAGGCGGGCGGGCGTGGCTTGGTGGCTGCCGCTATGCTCCCCAGTGCTTTCCAGGAAGACCCCGAAATTACTTTTAACGTCTCAATACTGCTCTAGAAGTGCCTCTGAAAGTCCCAGTAGTCTTTGTGGTAGGTCTCACAGTATTGTGCCAGCAATACTCCAGAATTATCTAGCAGTACCCCAAGAATGCCCCCGGAATTTTCTAGCAATTTCTAGGTACTCTTCATGTAATACTAAAAAGTAAAGTAATATTACTCTAGAATTGCACCAGTGATACTCCAGAATTCTCTCACTCTAGTCCAGGGATGGCCCCAGATTTACATAGCGTACACAGCTCTCTCTAATTCTGGATGCTCTTATAATAGTATTTTCACCACCTCCCATTTTGAGAGTTTTTCTCAGCAAATAGGAATAATAGGACCAGTAATGGTACTTCAGAGATGGACTCCACTCTACAAGATACAAAGTGTTTGCCCATGCCTCACCACAAACCAGGGGCCGTCATTCCTAGTTTACAGATGGGAAAGGCTGGGTGAGGTGAGGCAGAGCCTGACCCATGCTCACATAGTGAGCCCTGGCAAAGCCACAGCTAACTTTGCTTCACAGTCTCCAGCATGACCCTTGCCCTCTCTAGTCCTATTTTATCTGTAAGATGGGAATGAACCTTGTTTTAGGTTAGGACTGTGCATGGCCCTCCCTGGTGGGCTCACATTGGGCTTCTGGAAAACACTGGAGAGAAATGAAAGTACATCTGCCAAAGCCCTTTATAAACTGTGGAGTGCACGCTTGTGCACCACAAGTCAAGTAGGGCAGACCTCCTTGGACCCCAGCCGCGGTTGAGCCCCTGACTCTGGAAGTAAGATCTGCTCTCTTCTCCAGGGACACCCTCCCATCCCCCCCTGATAGCCCAAGGCTGACCAGAAAGCAGAACCTTGGCCTCTGACCCTGCTCCTTTCTCTCCTGCTCTAGTGCTGGGCCCCCCGACTCTCACAGCACTACCACCCTTGGCCACAAGAGAGGACTGGGCCTGGCACACGGAGCCAGGGGGTAAGGAGCCCAGCCTTCCAGGCTGGAATGGTAGGGGCAAGGTAGGCAGGGCTGGGAATTAGAAATTCTGGATCTACTGGAGGGGGGCCCTGGCTAGTCGACCAGGTCTTTTGGCCAGATGGTAAAGAGGTGGTGAGAGAACGATGAGCAGATGGAGCAAGGATGAAATCCAGAGCTCTGGGAAGTTCAGCAAAGTGGGAGGGGATAGTACGGGATTTCTTCAAAGCTCTGAGATAAAATTTGGGTGGGTGCTGAGGCTGGAAATTGAGAAGACTTGAGAGGGTTGAGCTAGAGGTTGAATGAAGGCTACAAGCACATTTGGAGTTTGGTCTGGAACTATCATTGGGATTGAAATTAGGATAATGCCTGGAAATAGGACTTGGTTCATTCCAACCAAGTTTCCTGAGGACTACACGTGACAACACGGCGACACTAAGTTTGAGGCTGAGTGTGGGGTGCAGATGTGGTACGGCTGGGGTATCTCATAGGCATCCCTGTGCCCTGCTGCAGGCCAGAAGGCCTTTGTCCCCTTCAAATGCTCTAGATGCCCTGTCTCTGCAGCTACGGGAGTTGGTGCCCTGCCTTCCAGGGAGACGGCACTGTTCACCACAGCTACCTGGGCCGCAGGGAAGAAAAGTAAGTGGCAGAGCCAGGGTTCTGTTGCGGGTGGGAGAGGGCGGGGCTGGGCCGCAGCCCAGCCCCTATGGCCGCGGGCCTGTGCGCCCCGCAGGCGGGCGGCTGCGGCTGGTGGGCGGCCCGAGCCCATGCCGCGGCCGCGTGGAGGTGATGTACGCCGGGGGCTGGGGCACCGTGTGCGACGATGACTGGGACTTCGCGGATGCGCGCGTGGCCTGCCGCGAGGCGGGCTGCGGGCCTGCGTTGGGCGCCACCGGCCTCGGCCACTTCGGCTACGGGCGCGGCCCCGTGCTGCTGGACAACGTGGGCTGCGCCGGAACGGAAGCCCGCCTGAGCGACTGCTTCCACTTGGGCTGGGGTCAGCACAACTGCGGCCACCATGAAGACGCTGGCGCGCTCTGCTCAGGTGAGGCCACTGCGGGATCGAGCAGGGGCACGTACTGCAGCGCGGGCGAGACCGCGCAGCACGGCCTCCCAGGAATGGGCGGGGCCGCGCGCAGGCGCGTACTGCAGCGCAGGCTGGACAAGGCGGGCTCTGAAAAATGGGCGAGGTCGTGCGTGAGGGCTCTCTGCGGCACGGCGGCGTGTGCGGGGCTGGAGAGGACGCGCACTCCGCAGAGGAAGGCGGAGCCCGACCATCGACTCCCTCTGCGGCTGCGCGGCGCGGGCGGAGCCGGAAAGGGAGCGCCCTCTGCAGTGAGAGTGGGGTGGGGCTTGGGGAGGGCGAGCACTCGGGGGGGGGGGGGGGGGGGGGGGGGGGGAGAGGCGGAGAGCCGGGGACAAAGTCTGGAAATCTGTGTGAAGGGAGGGGCTGGGGCGCTTTCGCTCTGCTGAGTCAAGGACCCACAAAGCTCTAGTAAGCAGAGACAGTTAGTTGATCGCTTTCGGGGAACAAGCATCTGACCTTTGGGAGGAATCAATGGAAAGGGGTGTTTGTAGAGTCTGACCTATTTTAAAATGCTTCTGTTCATTGATTGGTGTGGGAATTGATAGCTTCACCCTCCTTTGGTGCCTTGGGCCCAATAACTTTGGGGTAGCTACAAAGGGTTCCACTTTGGGTCCCAAGCTAAAAGAAACACAACCCTTATTTATTTATTTATTTATTTATTTATTTATTTACAGATTTATGAGAGAGCGCGCGCGCGTGCATGAGCGGGGGGGAGGGGCAGAGGGAGAGAGAAAGAGGGGAGCCCGACCACGACCCGGAGACCATGACCCCAGTGGAAACCAAGAGTCGGACACTTAACTGACTGAGCCACCCAGGCGCCCCAGCAACCCCCATTTCTGATCCAAGTAGCAGAGAGCAGTTACCCTTCAGGGTCCTGTACGGTCCTCTTTGCCCCTAAATCAGGCTTCCCTTGGGAGACCAGAAGGTAACCTGGCCTCAAGGAACATGTTCCCTAATGCTACAGCCACCTCTTTTTCTTTGTCCTTGCTGAGCCAGGCCCAGAGGAGCTAGGACTGCAAGTTCAGCAGGATGGTTCTGAGACCACCCGGGTGCCCACTCCTCGGCCAAGGGACGGTAGGTGCTTACAGCCCCCAAAGATGGAGGTAGAGGCATCAGGATAGGAAGGACCAGAATTGAGAGAGATCATAGCCTGAGGTTACCCAGCTCAACGGATTTGCACCAGGTTTGAGAATCTTTGTTCTGTGCTAGTCCGGGATATGGTGTCCAGAAAGAGGTGGGGGGTGGGTGGTTAAAGGGAGCAATCTTAGAGATTTCTAGGGATAGGACCAAAATAAGGGAATATGGCTCTTTCCTAAAGAGAGAAATGAAAGAATTCACTTTTACACCTGTGGATGAGAGGAGATGATGAACTTCAGGGGACACAATCACAGTCTCTAGAGAGCAGCACTGGGGCTGAGGGTCTGGGATTATGAAGAGGACTAAGAACAGACATGAAGCACTCGGGATGTGCACAGCACCCCCACAAAGCCTGGTACACATTCTTCCAGTCCAGAGACTGAGTCTGGACTGCTGCGCATCCTATTTCAATCTGATTTATCTACCCTTATCCAACGGCCCCTAGGGCAATGCTGTGTCTCAGACCACCACCCTTTGCCTCTTCTGTCCACCCCTTCATGGCCTGGCATGGGCCAGCCCCTGCAAGCCCTGATCCTTGTCTCTCCCCAGGGCACCTGCGTCTGGCCAACGGAGCTCACCAGTGTGAGGGGCGTGTAGAACTCTTCCTAGGGCAACGGTGGGGCACCGTTTGCGATGACGCCTGGGACCTGCGAGCAGCCACTGTCCTGTGCCACCAGCTGGGCTGTGGCCAGGCCCTGGCAGCCCCCGGCGAGGCCCACTTTGGCCCAGGCCGAGGCCCTATCCTCCTGGACAATGTCAAGTGCCGTGGGGATGAGAGTGCTCTTCTGCTCTGTTCTCACATACGCTGGGATGCCCACAACTGTGACCACAGCGAGGATGCTAGTGTCCTGTGCCGGCCATTGTGACCCAGCCTGTTCTGCAGACCATCTCTTCTGGGAGCCTGCTGTGGCTTGTCCCTCTTCCTCCAGGAAGCCCTCCTCCTATGACAACTTCAGTTCACCCTACCCTTTCCTCCTCTTGCCTGGGAGAGAGCCCACTCTGACAATGTGGTCCTGCCTTGGGAGCCTAGAGTCTGACTCTACCCATCAACTTCTTGTGTGACCTCAACTGTTATCAACTACCATGGGCCCTGTTCAATGAGAGCTCCCACTTTCTGCTCAGCCAAAACATAAAATGGGGGGAAGGGAATGACTTAACTCTCTTCTTTGGTGGGGCTCCTCTTATAGCAACTTGACCCTGCCTTCCTGGACCCTGGTCCAGGAGGCTCAGGGGCTCTCTATAAATGGGGTATCTCCCTTTCCCCCACCCATATTGGGATCCCCAAGAAGAGGGAAGGCAAGAGAGGCCCACAGCTCTTACCTTCACCTGCCTGGGGCTGCAAAAGAACCTGGGTCATTACCCTGGCCTTCTCCATGAGGGCCCAGACTCAGATGGTGCTTGGCTGGACAAGGGGACTGGAGGGGCCAAAGCAGGGACAGTGGCGCCTTCCTGCAGCTGGAACCAGCATCTCTGATTTATGCTGCCCCCACCACAGAGCCTCCACTCTGCAGCAGTGAAGGACCCTGGGGGCCTGTAGCCACCTGTTCATAGGTGCCAAGTCAATAAAGCATTGTTCCCCCCCGCCCCCGCTATCTTTTAACTTGTGGGTACAAGTGCATCATTTGTAGCAGCAGGAAAGACTGGTTAGGACTCTGCAGGAAACCGGCTTGGGGATGGAGGGTGGTTCAAGAGCATCATCAGAGAGCTCTCAGCAGGCCCGCACATCTTTGAAATGCTGACTCACGTTTTGAGGCCTGGAATGCCCCAGAGGGTCCCCTAGCCCATCCCTGCTTTCCTTTTGCATATAGAGAAATTTAGGTCCTACTGAAGGAAAGGATCTGCTCCAAGACACATTGCAAGGTGGGCAGAGGCACTAGAAGCAAAACTTGAGAAGAGAGGCAGGGAGATGAGAGCATCTGAGGGCTGCTCTCACCTGGAGCTCCAAGGGCAGAGAGAAGTGGGGGATCTTGCCAGAGCCCCTCTCAGTCTCAGGGTGGGTGACTTGTCAGTAAAAAGCAACTGTCCTGGTCAAGCCTCTGCCCTCCACGTCTGGCGGGCAGGCTCTCTGCTTTCCCATGGCTGCTGTATCAAATTATCACAAATGGAATGGCTTAAAACAACACAAATTTATTATCCTACAAAGTTTTTTTTTTTTAAGATCTTATTTCTTTATATGAGAGAGTGAGCAGGGGGAGGAGCAGAGAGGGAGGGAGAAGCAGACTCCTCGCCGGGTGTGGAGCCCCTTGTGGGGCTCAGTCACAGGACTCTGAGATCGTGACCTGAGCTGAAACCAAGAGTCAGATGCTCAACCGACTGCTACCCAGATGCCCCTATCCTACAGTTTTTGAGGTCGCCAGTTTGAAGTGGGTCTCCCTGGGCTAAGCTCAAGGTATCGGCAGGTTGGTGTTCTTTCAGGAGAATCTAAGGGAGAATCCATTTCCTTACCTTTCCAGGCTGTCTGAATCCCATACCCGCTCATGACCTCCTTGCAGCCAGCAAGTGCATCACTTGGACTGCTGCTTCCATCACCTATCTCCTTTCCTGACGCTCCTGCCTCCCTCTTCCATCCTCTGAAGCCCCTTGTGATTATAGGAGACCCTGGATAATCCAGGCTACTCCCCCATTTCAAGGTCCTTAACTTAATCACATCGGCAAAATCTCTTTAGCCCTGTAAAGTAACACGTTCAGGAGCTCCAGGGATTAGGACATGGACATCTTGGGGGAGGAGAGTGGGGGAGGGCATTATTCTGCCTCCCACTGGCTCCAGACCTGGGTCCTGGCTCACAGCCAAAGAGTGAGGCAGACACTTGAGCTCCACAGTCCATCAGCACTTGGCAGTAATGGCTTTGTCTTCATTTTTCAGGGAGCTCTGAGACCCACTGTGTCATTGGAAGGATGAGGACCCAAGCAATGAAAGGAACAAAAATACTTAAGGACTCGGAGTCAGGGCAGAGGGTCGGGACCCTCCAGCCAGCCTGTATTCCCCAGAGCTGAGTGCAGCGCACTCATATTCTGCGTAGCCACTCTGGCCACACACACATTCAAGTGTGCCCCTCCCTCGTCCTGAGAAGTATCACAGCTTCCCATCTAAACAAACTGCTTTCATCTAAGCTCTGTCAACCCTCATAGCAGCCCTGTGAGGAAGCATTATCATCCTTTTTTTTTTTAAGATTTTATTTATTCATTTGAGAGAGAGAGCATGATCTGGGGGAGGAGCAGAGGCAGATGGAGAAGGAGAAGCAGGCTCCCCGCTGAGCAGGTAGCCCAATGTGGGGCTTGATCCCAGAACCCTGGGATCATGACCTGAGCCAAAGGCAGATGCTTAACCAACTGAGCCACCCAGGCACCCCAATTATTGTCCTTTTTTGCAGACAGGGAAAGCAGGCTCAGAGAGGGACACTGATTTTTCCAACTCAGTGGACCCATGACTAGAACCTAAGATTTTTTTTAAGTAAGCTCTATGTCCAGCATGCGGCTTGAACTCACAACCCTGAGTTCAAAAAGTCACATGCTCTACCCACCGAGACAACCAGGTGCTCTGTTCTAAAACCTAAGATCTCGATGCCCCTTAATACTGGTCACCAACATGTCCAGGGCTCCCCTTCCTGGCACATGGTAGATTTGCACCTCCTGATCCTCATGGCCCTATGACATGCTCTGGACAATGAAACGTGAGCAGAAGTACCCCCTCAGATAGGAGCCCTCAAGGACCTGAGCACAGTTTGCCAAATTCCTTCCTTCGAGGTGACCAGTGATGTTCCAGATGGCAGAGGGCCCATCAACCTGCGTCCCCGAGTGAGGGCCACCTGGAGCAAAGCCTCTGTTGACTCACCATGGACTTAGAGTGAGTGAAAAATAAATCTTTGTTGTTGTAAATGAGAGTGGGTTTTTTTTTTTTATCAGAGCAACCTAACCTAGACCATCCCGTCTGACATACTCAGGCTCCTAAAGTTTTCTGCCCTGTGGGGTTTATCTAAAGCCTGTTTTCCAGCCAGTTATCAAGGCTAGTACTGTTGTAACTCTGTCGTGGGGTACTTTTTGGTATTCGGTGGGCCAGGGCCTGCTGACTGGAAGCACACACATAAATAAGACAGGACTTTTGCCCTTGAGAAACTCACATAATAATCGCTTGTTGACTTGCTGTCCCTGAGTGGGACAGGCTCTCCTGAAATTCGGCCTGTCCCACTCAGAACTTTGTTACCTCTACCTAAACCTGGGTTTCCCTGTTTGGTAAGTAGTGCTACCAACCAGTAGCTTAAGCCAGGAACCTGGGTGTTATCCCCAGCAATCCCCATCTCCCAAAACTAATTAGCCACCAAACGTTACTGATTCCATCTCCCGAACCTTACTAGAATCTGTTCACTTCTCTCCCCCCCATATTTCTCACCAAGGCTTCTTCACTGGCTCCCTGTCTCCAGCCCATTCCCCACACCACAAGAACAGTGCACTGTTTACAAACCCAGTGTGGCCACTACCCTGGTCAAACCCCTCCCATGGCTCCCCAGTGCTCTTCCTCAACTCCTTAGCTCAATTTGCAAGGTCCTGTCCAGCCTGGCTCTGCCTGTGTTTCCAGCATCATCTCTTGCCACTTGCTGCCAGGTTCTTGCCAGGCTGAACTACTTTCAATTCCTCTAATGTCTGGGCTCCCTTCCCACCGGGCCTCTGCACATGCTGTTCTCTCTGCCTGGGATACACGTCACCCTCTCCCCTCCTTCCCCTGAGTCAACTCTTATTTAGCCTCATGTCTTAGCTTTCCTTTTCTCCAGAAGGCCCTCTCTGATACCTCCTCCTCCCAGTCTGGACTAGGCACAGCCAGCATCATACCCAGGGGAGACAGTACTCACCCCTGCTGAGATTGCTGACTTGGCTGTCTCTTCTACTAGCTCAGGGGGCCTTTGAGGGCTGCGGCTGGAGCTGTCATGCCCAACTTTGTGCACAGGACTCCACATACAGCAGCTGCTCAAATAATATTTGTCGGGTGAGTGAAGGACACGAGCACATATTTCTGGAGCCCCTGTGTGCTAGGCCAAGCACAGTGCCGGGCTCTGGGGCCCCAGAGCAAGAAGAGACCTGGAGCAGTTTCCTGTTTGCAAGGCACAGAGATTACTTTCAAGAGGAGAAGAAAACAGGGCACCTGGGTGGCTCAGTTGGTTAAGCGACTGCCTTCGGCTCAGGTCATGATCCTGGAGTCCCGGGATCGAGTCCCACATCGGGCTCCCTGCTCAGCGGGGAGTCTGCTTCTCCCTCTGGCCCTCTTCCCTCTCGTGCTCTCTCTCACTCTCTCTCAAATAAATAAATAAAATCTTTAAAAAAAAAAAAAGGAGAAGAAAACAATGATAAGCCACTGAGCATATCCATAGTCAGAGACTTTGAGCTAGTGATTAGTGCTCTAAAGAACATAAAGCAGGTGTCATGGTAGGGATTGGGTGGTCAGAGAAGGTTCCCGAGGAGGTGAGGCTTGCGTTGGGCCTCAGTAATGAGAGGGAGGTGGTCATGAACCTTTTGGCCACAGAAAGGTTTGGGGAACATTCTAAGTCCTTCACTGGGGATTTAGCCTGGCCTACAAAAGGGCCAGATCACTCAGGGCTTTCTAGGCTGTGGGGAGAAGTTTTATTCTAAGGGCAATGGGAATCTGTTGAAAAATGAATGATATAAGTGCCCCAGATGTCAGCCTCTTGAATATCTTCCACCTCTTTCAACTTGCTGAGTGTGCCTTGCCTCTTAAAATTTACTTAAAAGGACCCAGCCTCTGGGGTGCCTGGGTATTTCAGTTGGCTGAGCATCTGACTCTTCGTTTTGGCTCAGGTCATGATCTCAGGGTCTTGAGATCAAGATTGGACTCCAAGCTGGGTGTGGAGCCTGCTTGGGATTCTCTCTCTCTCCCTTTGCCCCTCCCTTCCTCCACACACTGGAGCTCGCAAAAAAAAGAAAAGAAAGAAAAGAAAGAAAAGAAAGAAAGAAAGAGAAAGGAAGAAAGGAAGGAAGGAAGGAAGAAAGAAGGAAAGAAGGAAAGAAGGAAGGAAGGAAGAAAGAAAGAAAGAAAGAAGGAAGGAAGAAAGAAAGAAGGAAGGAAGGAAGGAAAGAAAGAAAGAAAAAGAAAGAAGA